GAGTCACATTTTGTTATGCTTAAAATGTTGACAACCGCTGGCTATAAATTTCTCTAGACCAATCGCAAAGCGAATCATATTGATCATTCTAGGACCCTCGAGAAACACACCGCTAGTATATAAACAGTTAACAGGCCACACAACATGTCATTTCTGGATAGTATTTGTTTGTGCGTGCCCTTTGACATTATTTTTTCTTTTCAATATTATTTCTTCATCGCTATAGCAACAATAGGTTGTGTAAGTGACCCAAACATATTCTGTTATATTTGTTGCAAGGAAACAAGGGCAAAACTTTACAGAAGTTCTTTTCAATATTATTTCTTCATCGCTATAGCAACAATAGGTTGTGTAAGTGACCCAAACATATTCTGTTATATTTGTTGCAAGGAAACAAGGGCAAAACTTTACAGAATTTATCTAAAAAGCATATTACGAGTATTTGGGAATAAAACTTGGGGGACAAAGACAAATCATGGGCTTTTCATAAAGTTTACACCATTTGTGTTGAAGAGTTGAGACAATAGATTAAAGGTAAGAAAAAGTCTTTGCCTTTTGGAATTCCAATGGTTTGGCATGAGCCTAACAACCAAGGAGATGACTGCTATTTTTGCTCATGTGATGTGCAAAAACGAAAAAAATGGATATTTCTTATCCGAACCTTCAATCTGCTATAAGACCTGTTGCTCATGAGCCTGATGTACCTGTACCTACTCCACCGGAGACTCTTGAAACAGTTTCATCTGATTCTGAATCAGATATTAATATAAATGATGATAGGGGTTGTTTTCAACCTGAAAAGTCTGGTGAGCCACAACTTCTCACACAAGGTAAACTTAATGATTTGGTGAGAGATTTGGGCCTTCCAAAGGATTCTTCAAAGATTTTGGAGTTCAGATTTCGGGCTAAGAACCTACTTTCTCCAGGGACATCATTTTACTGGTACAGAAACACGTGAAAGAACTTATACCATACCTTTCCCAAAAGGTTCACTGGCTTATTGCAACAATATTGCTGAATTAATACTAATGCTAGGAGCTGCAGTCTATGAACCAAGTGAGTGGCAACTGTAAACTGATTCCTCGAAAAGAAGTCTAAAAGGTGTTCTCCTTCACAATGGTAACATATATGCATCTGTTCCTATTGCTCATTCGGTTCACTTGAAGGAAACATACAAATTTTCCATGTTTTTTGTGTGAATGGGACAGCAGAGCACGAAATCAGCACTGGATACAGAAGAAATGGCCATACAGAGTCAGCCTGATACCAGGATCGAAAAACATTGAACGTGAAAGTTTGATTGACACAAAGAAAGTCCTATTACCTCTATTTCACATAAAAATAGGCTTGATGAAGCAGTTTGTAAAGGCCTTAGACAAAGATGCCGACTGTTTCAAGTATCCATGTGGATAATTTTCAGCTCTTTCAGAAGCAAAACTTAAAGAATTGATTTTTGTTGGGCCTAAGATTATGAAATTGAGTTTGGATTAACAGTTCAAAAGGACAATGAAGAAAGTTGAAAAAGAAGCATAGATTGCCTTTAAAGATGTTATTCACAAATTTTTAAGAAACAACAAGGATCGAAATTATAAAAATATTGTCAATAACATGCTCGATAAATTCAAAGAGTTGAGTTGTAATATGAACTTGAAAGTTCATTTATTACACTCAAATACTGACTATTTCCCTGAAAATCTTGGTGCTGTCAGCAAAGAACAAGGGGAAAGGTTTCATCAAGACATTACAGAAATGGAGAGGTAGTATCAGGGATGGTGGAACGAATGCTGATTACTGCTGGTCATTGAAATGAGATGCTCCAGATGCAATACATAAAAGAAAGACCACAACGCGTAGTTTTGAGACAAAAAGACGTAGATTTCACAAAAAAATCAGGATGAATGAGGATGAATATTCATCTGACATCAATATTCTTCCCTTTTCTTCAAGGTCTTTCAATTATGAGATTTTATATATGTTTTTGTACATTATATACACTATTATCATGTGAGAAAATGTGACGCCAGAGTTATACTGACTCAGCAAAAACATGGTTATTTCTACCATGTATGTGATTTTAAAATAAGTATTTAATTTCTAACTATTTCTAAATGTACAAGCCTGCAAGTGGAGTTGGCCAACACCAACTTTATTTCAAGGTAACATTTTTATTTTATGGGGGGAATCTTACAGTAATTTTAATCTACACACAATAGTAAATAATTGAGCTGTATTGGGCACCAACGAACTGATACAATTTCAAGTCAAAGTTAACAAATCATTTACAGATCAAATGCTGTTCTAGGAATTCTTAATTTAACTTTAATTAGAGTACATAGAGAATGATTATTTTAAATTTGTTTATTTACATTATTTTTTTTTCTTTTTTATTATTATTAAAAGAATTATTTTGCAATGTTAGCTTAGTATATGGATTTCCACCTAACCTAAATTTCCTAAGCTGGCCAAACTTTGAGAGACATTATTTGGATTACAGCCATATATAATATACCAAAGTTACTTCTTGCTGCACATTAACTTTGCTGATGTAAAAGTTTGTCATCCAATTTAATCGTGCAGGCAACACCCAAACTCAATCACAGCAGCTTTTAAACTCTTTTATCCCTTTAATTTATAATATATACATTAATGGCATTAATAAATCAATTACATTTAATTATTCTCTGTAAGTGTAAAACTTTTCCATTTGTTACAACAACAACAGTTACCTTTTTGTTTTAAATATTAGTACTTACATGAAATCATTCCAAATATCTTTACAGGTGCCATTGTTTGAACAAGGACTGTCAGCACAAGGTTCATCACTTTTTACCCCTTTTTCTAAGTTATGTAGTTGTGGTGTTCTCAAAATCACAGTGTCAATTTCTTCAAATGCTTCTTGTGGATAAAACGGAATCAGCTTGCCATTTATCTACAAACAGAAATTTAGTACAATTTAGTACAATTTGATGGAACAGGTTGTGCTATGTTTACCTTACAGTGAGATTCTCTCGCAGTCATGATAAGTTAATGTTGATTTGCATCCTTTTCTCTAAAACAAATGATTCGACTGATCTCAACATGCAAGACACCATATTGCAAAATGACAGAATTAGCGCTGTATGTGTTTTACTTTTCTCAATTTCAGAGTAACATAAGAGTCTCATACACAAAAGTTAGTTTTTTTTTTTAGATTTTTGCACAAGGGCTATCTCCAAATGGCTATCCCTAATTTTGAACTGACAAGCTAGAAAGGTGGGTAGACAACAGCACCCAATGTAAACTTTGGGGCTATGGCCCAAAAGTGCTGAGTATGTTTCTGGCAACCACAAACACTCAAATATTTAGTCTGGTTAAGCTAACTACTACACCATGCCCAACCCAGGGGTACATAATAATAATTATTTTATTACAGTAGTTTCAAAACTTTATTTTTGGCAAACTCACAAATGAGGCTAATTCACATGTTAAAAGTTTCACTGTGATGTTACACTTCACCTGCTCAATCATGATTATGCTTGGACAACTACTGATCTATAACCATAAAATTCATCTCATTTTAATTATATTAACTACCTAATGTTTAATGAAGCAAACAACTAGGTCTTATATGTTTCATATGTAAATTATATTCCATTCTTTTTCTATAATAAGTTTCTTTGAAATGTTTAACATACATTTTTAATTTTACAATTTCTCCTTTAGGCCAAATTAAAAATGATTAGGTTCTAATCCATTTTTTCTTTGCAAAATTCAAGGCAGATTATTTTTTCTCTCTTTCTGTTTGGACTCCTTTGTTACTTAAATTTGAAAATGAATTAATTAAAATATCCTATAAAACATTAGTAGAATTTCAATGTACCTATCCAATGACAAAAGCATATCTTAATATTTAAGCTGCTTCAACATAAGTGGCATTTTCTGTTCTAAACTGGCAAGTCACATTGCTGTCTCGTTTGCTTGTATCTATTTAGTACGCTCAAATTTCTGAACAAGTTCTGCTAAGACAGAACTAATGAATAAGTACTTTTATACACTAGATGGTGTATTTAATTGTACGCTACTTACACAAACTTCAACACATGCCCATTTATGTTACACAGACCTTGTAACCATTTTGTGCTTGTTATAGTTTTCATGCTATAACTTTTAAATTTGTAAGCTAACGAAATTTGGCAGATTATCAGTAAACAGTACAATACTTTCACACACAAAATATAAATTTTTTATATTAAGTCTTAAGGTTTGTTAAGCAATGTTTTTCTCATGCCTTTTTTTTTTCTTTTCACATGTTATCTATCCAACATCAAAAAATTTCCAAATTTCACATGCAAAATCTTTATAATTTCCAGATAGTTATCAAATGTTTCTTAGTAACTAAACTGTACTTGGGTCTAAAAAAATATGAAATTTCAAGCAGACTAAAAACACAACCTACCTCCTTGAAATATTGGTTCGAAAGAACGAGATGGCATCCTAAAACATGAAAATGGCTGAGAAAACCACTAGGGGAACATTCTGAGCTTTTGTTTAGATATCCACATGTCATATATTTAAATAAGTGTATATAAGGGACTGTTTCCAAAAAATGGAAAGAGGTGAGCAGGGCCATTGTGTTTGATTTAGTACATGAGTGATACCTCAACAAATAGAGAAGATATGAGGTTCTTACATTCTAGCTTGTCAATATTCGTAATTTGATTTCCTAATTTATAAGAAACTATAGACCTAGTAATTTGACATCACAAACATATAATTTGAACCGGTGCTGCATTCAACATACCACGTGACACACAAAAATAAATGTTTAACAGTGTTTTTTTATTAA